TACACTTGTTGTTTACCACCAAAATGGTTCCCCCAAAAAGCTTAAAGTGCAGGAACTCAGGGAGTGAATGGATTCCAGAGTTTAGGTCACAAGTCTCACTTAAGATCGAAAGCAGAAGGCAACGAATGGCTCAGTTAGCCCAGAATGGGACCCAGAAATGAAAGGTGAGCACCTGTTGGGGCCAGTGAAATAGAGAGCCAAAAGGCCGATTGATGCGGTCAATTCCACAAATGCGGTTGAGCACGAGCCCCACTGAAAATGGAACCCGTCCCAAGATTAGTCGGCCTGGCGAATTTTGATATTTGGCGGTGTTTCGCTCAGGTGGCAGTCTCACTGATCCAAACAGGTATGAACTGCTTGTTGGCCACTCACATGATGTTGCCCAAAACCTAAAAGAACTGGAGTTGCGAGATGCTATTTAGTTCAAACCCAGGGATTTGCAAAGGCCACTGCGAAGTTTGGAAAAAAACCCTCCCTGATTTCACTTTGCGTCTTTCACCCAATTGGAACCTGCCAAGCCACAGCGGAACGCAATTGAGTCTGCTGATTGTTTTACAAATTTTATACACCGGCGGCCATTTAGTACGAGTTTGACAGACTATCAAAACACGAACCCCTCCAAATGGAATGTTTCCTTTTGACATCCTTGTTCTTGACCCACGTGTGGGGTACAATGAAAACCATATTTCTGACTCTGTACAAATAGTTCTGAGGGACCGCAGTCAGGATGTGGGTTTCATTGGATATACAGCCACCAAAGGTGCGCAAATTTCCTGCATGACCGTTTTGCCCCTGAGCGGTCGAAACCATCGAACCTTTCAACCTATGGAGAAGGCGACATACGCTTCACAACCCTGGGGTATGTATGGCAGCAAGCAAAATCGCCTTTTTGCAACCCCCAGACAACCACATGCAGATGACCCCTTGTTCCCAGGGTCATGGCCAGGTCCTCCAGTAGAAAGGTTAGAATAAGGCCACCCTTTTTCTCTGTAGTCTATTTTGGTCTCCGGAACCTCCCAACCAAGAAAGGGAACCCTACCTCCAAATTTCTAAAAGGGCACCAATTGCTGGGGGACCAAACGATACCCCTTAAAACTCCAAGCCCTAAAAAAGTTAGATTTTTTTACAGACATGTTTCGCCCATGTTACCCCCAAAAAGTTGAGAAATGTTTTGTGTTTTTAAGAGGTAAGTAGCCATACCCGGAGAAGTGGAGAAACCCGAGGCCCCCGCCACAAGGCGAAACCCGACGTTTTCGCTCTCCCAGGCCCCCGGCACGCGGGTGGCCTCGGCCTGCGCCGCCTGGGCCTCGAGCGATAAAAGTCGCATGGGCCAAGCCCCGGGCAGCGTGCCTTCTTTCGGCTTAAAGACCCACTGGCTGAGTGGATGGCCCGATTTGTTTTATCAAACTTTAGATTTTTACCACTGAAATGGTCCAAACCCGAAAAGCTATTAAAGTTCATGAACTCAGGAAGTGAGGCTGAAAAAGATGTAGAAACCACACTTCTGGGCTCAGATCCGCCAAATCACCTTCTGGTTTCCCGGTTTCACAAAGCCGGACAAAGCTGTTTAAACATCAACCTCCCTGTTTTTGGCTTCACGCTTGAAACAAATCAAAGCAAACAAACAAAGAGTTAGCCCTGGTTGGTGTTTTGGCTTGGTGGCTTGGACCTTAGGCTACCTCCCCCCTTGATTTCAACGGGAACTCGGGGGCTCAAAATCCAAATCCAAACCACCTGGAGCAGAGAGGGCAACCAAAAGGTTAAAAGGTCGGTTTTGAGCAACTGAGAAGAACACCTTTCACAAGGGTAGAACACAAGGAACACGGCAGTTGGCCAGCCGGGAGACCAGTTGCCCAGTGGCGCCAATGAGTTTTTCATTTTTTTGGGGGGAAGAGTTCCGATTCCTTTCAACTCAACCAGCCATAAATGGATGCCTGAGACAGCTATTCAGGTATGACTTGGATGGGTAACACAGACCTTTTGGGTGAGTTTCTGGAGAACCAACCTGGGCGCTAAATAGCCCAGATCTTTATAAACACTGCCCAAAGAGAAGCCACACAGCCAACAGTTCGGAGTGGTGAGCGAGGCCTCTGAGCTGTCGCCCTGCAGGGCTTTGTCCGGGTGCCAGCCTTGGGCGAAGCAACTGGGCGCAGCGGTGGAATCTGCCCCCCCCCCCCCCGAAATACAAGGGATCCAACTGGGTGAATTCAAACTTGACTTCTTTTTTTTGCCAACAACAGATCTGGGTAGATTATCATATTTCACCAAACTGAAATGGGGTGGTTGGGCGGCTACTCCCCACATAAACCACCATTTGGGGTGAGCTCGAGTGAAGTCGTTATAATTCACCCAGATCCAAGCTTGCCACCAAAACGGGGCCACACACCCCAATCCAAATCAACCAAAGATCAACATTGCAACAACTGTTAAGCTTTTACCACCTGACCACTTGCATGGTCGTTGCCGAGTTAGTGAGTGGTTAGCTGCCTGGGTTCTACCCACAAAGGCTTAACTCCACTGAGTTGGAACTTAACTCAGCCACAGTTTGCGAACTTCGCCGACCCGAGTGCCCCGCTCAATACCGGAATCCCAACTTCCATCTTTCTGGCTTGGAGGTGTTCAAGACCTCCATTTTGCCCACCCACAAAAACCTCACTCCAAGACTTGGCTGGAACTAGGACCCCAGCAAAAAATATTTATTTGTTGCTGAGTATATAGTGGAAAACAAAAGGAACCCCAAAAAAGCAAAAAAGGAAACAGGGGAACTAATTCTGGGGAAGAAGACACGACCCGTCTAGTGGCCCAACTAGAGATACTTTATCAACGGTCCTAGGATCTGCAGAAAGTGACGGATCGAGAAAGGATTTGCGAACTTTGGGAACTCATGCCTAGCTTGGAAGGTCTGGCTACATGCCTGAGCCGCGGAAAACAAAAACACTACGTGCTAAAAGTGACAGATGTATTCATTCCATTTCAGTGAGCCACCCTTAGTCTTCCAAGCACCCCACGTCTATTCAAAAAAAACAACCTACAAAGATGACAAATGCTTCTAAAACGGGGGGGGGCTGCTAAGGGGCGACGAGGTGCGCATTGTCAGGGTGCTAGACCAACAAATCCAACACCAACCAGCGGCACACGTCTTGCACGATTCAACAAAATTCCCATCTGCATGAAGGACTGTTAATTGTAAAGCCCCTAACCACTCAAGTGAGCTGCCTAAATCGGGAAATATTTTGGATGGACGACATCCACAAAGACCAAATCTCAAAAGGTCAACAGATCGACGCGATGGGCAAATGACAACAAAAAGGCGTTGTTACAAGCCGCCGAACAAATGCCTTTTCCAGAGTCGGGGCTTATTGGTGGCTTTTGGGGGCTTGAGCCCTCAGTGCAGTTCATGTCAAGTGATCAGACGTCAACTTGCCAAAAGGTGTCCCTTGGTGCAACCTGCAACGGGCACCGGCTGGTCCCCAAAAGGGCGAAGAAATGCTTCGCCCCAGCTGTATGGTAGCAAACACTTTGAAATTTGCAGCCCCCTACTAAAAATGAACAGAAAAGAGAAAAACAAAACACAAACAAAAAACCAAGAACAGCGAAGAATACAAAGCCCAACAAGAGCAGGGCTGAGAACCACTGGCCAGCAGTCCAGCGTTCCAATGAGAAACCCCATACCCCAGCGTTGAGTGGGCAGAGTGTGCGCTCACAGGATTCCCAACAACAGCTTTTTCCCACATGCAAAATCCCAAAACCACAAGGCGAAACAGGAGTGTCTGGATTCCCACACAAAAGTTGCAAATTACTGCTGGAATCCGCTGAAGCTGCCCCAAAAAGACAATTTGGAGGAGCCCCCAGAAGCAAATGGAATCGTGGGTTATCCTACTGGCTTCAAGAAAAAAGCGACATGGAGTTTCAAAATTGGGGTGCAGGGCAAAAAAAAACATTGCCACCACCACGAGCTGAGGTGTCGCAACTTGGCCCTGGGCGCAGAAGCAAGCGTTTCAGCGCTTGACCTGAGCTTAGGTTCGTTGCACGCGTGCTCAGCACTACTGATTATGTGTCCTACTGGGTGGGATTGGCAAGAAAGAGGCAACCACACATTTGTTTATATACCACCAACATCGTCTTTCCAAAAACTTTCTAGACGAGGAACTCAGGAAGTGAGTGGGGGTGTAACCAAATTACCGACAACCGAAGCATACTCTACAACAAGAGGCTTTTCGTGTCTTGCAAAAAGGAGAGCAAGTGGAAGACGTTGAACGCCATGGTGGCTGAAGTCAGCCTTGCCAAAAATGGGTGGAAGGGTGTTGAATAGAAATGCAACCTCCTCAAATATACTTATATGCAGCCTGTGTTCCGTATAAGCGAGGCTGGGGGCTGAAGTGAAGTCGTGCGACCGCCAGTGACAAAGTCACGCTAGACTGCCAAAGGGTGGTCCTTCTCCGAGACGGACCTTTGATTCTGACCTGAAGGCACAGGTTTGTCGCTCTTTGCAAACATCATGTCGATGTCGGGGTGAAGGGCTGTAACCAACCTCTATTTAAAAGCATTCTCGACTGACCTGCCAGCTTACAGGGGTCACTGGATTTCCCCAAGTCAAAAGTCGATTAATTTAGCAACTGTTCAATTCCAAAAAGGGGAATGGCTCGCAAACCCTGGCTTTAGCTTGCCAGAAGCCAGTTTATTACTGGCTGCAATTGACTCCCCTGCATGTGCTTAAACAAACAAAAACTTTGTGGGTCTCATGGAAAACCCTGTTGCCTAAAAACTTAAAGTCGGAAGATCCAACCCAATAGCAATCAAGAAAGGCCGGCTTTTGGACAAATGGGTGTGATTTTTTTTGAGGGGCCCCTTGACAAACATCATGACACAGTGGGCGCTCACTTCCGCCAACGTCTTGTGAGATTTACCCAAGCCCAACAAGTGACTAAAGTGCAAAACCACCTCAAAACGGGTACCTTCAAAAACAACTGGTGAGATCTGTCTTGTGAGATTGCTCCTTACTACAATTGATAGCCAAGGGCATTCTTCCGCCCGCCGCGCACGCTGAGGGCCCTGCGCCCCGCGTCCGCGCCGCCAGAGTCTTGCGCTGCCTCACCACTCGGTCAGCTTTGGTGCTGCAAGGCATGGCAGTTTTCCCCTGCTGGTTATGCATTGTGTCCCATTTCCGAAAAAGGGTTGCTTGGATAGAACCAGCTTTGTTGTCCTTCATGGATATGCGCTTCCCTACCTTTCTTGCTATTGCCCCCCTCACCTTTTGCCGTTCAGCTGGGAAAAGCAAAGCTTCCCAAGTTAAGTTCAAGTCCAAAAATCCAAAGAGCAGTCAGAAGACCTGCAGACAACAAACGCGGATTCTGTCCAGTAGTCAAATCGAGCCCCTTTAAAACCAGGGGAGTATAGATATATCAGTAATTATTCCTTTCAGCAACCATGTGGATGGTCAATGGGCCGACTTGAAAAGGTTTTCCAAGCGTCTCAGGCAGGCCGCTGCTGGGGGAAAGGCTGGGGCCTGCGTGCGTGGCGCGCTTCTGACAAGTGAACGTGGTCAGCTCGGCGCGCGAGACCGCGAGACCCAAGCGGCACACCACTTGCTGAGCAGCTGCTGAGTTGGGTGCTTGTCGCCGACAAAGTATGGTGCCAGGCCTTTGGCCCCTTTAGCTCCAGCGAAGGTCTCCGCAAGCGTCCGCGCCGGAAGAAGTGGCCGTGATTTCCTCAAGCGCAGCAACAGGGCATCCTCTGAAGATCTCTGCAAGCTTACACAACAGGGTTATAACTTATGACTGAACCTCCAACCGAAGACAGGGTCAGAAGAGGGCCTGGGGGAGGGGTTCAAAACGAGAGGCGCGGATCCCAAAGGGCGGCAACAAAGACCTGTTAAAGAACGTGTTTTCGTGGTACTTGTGACTCTTAAACATAGCCAAAATCGTGGGCGACTTTGGCACGTAAAATGGATTTGTGGTTTTGAAGAGAAACCTAAAGGACAACTACAATTTTCAGGGGTCCACCAGATAAAGACACACCCTAATGATAGTCTGAGATGTCGATGTCCGGAAGGAAAACTGAGGGCTGAATCAAAGACAACTGATTCGTGGTTTGGATTAGTGGCTTGGGGATTTGAACCCTTGGTTCTTGTGGTAAGTAAACGGGAAACAACCCCGACCTCCTGGACACAAAGAAGCAATTTTTGCCAGGGAAACCGCCAAATGTAACCGCCAAGTGCAAAGGGTCTCCGGGAATTACCAATGGAACAACTCAGGGCCGAAAACCTGTTGACCTTTGGTTCTATCAAAATGGTTGAGGTTTATAAAGGCCTTGCCATAGTCACCAGGTAGGACAACCACCTAGCAAAGCGGCCAGGGATCGGTTTTGTGCGCTGCTCGTCCTTTCCATTCCTTGGCATGTGAGCACAAAGCCCGGGCGGTTGGCAGCCCACTAAAAGATATGAGCAGAACCTAACAAAAAACAACAAAACACGAAAACAATGCCCGCAACTTGAACAAATCAACAAAGCGAAGAAACCGCAAAAGCCAATTGTTTTGCTCATAACAGCCACCCCCCCAAAAAAAAAACAAAACAAAAAGCAACAACAAAAACGGATGAAACACCATGCCCAGAACACTGAGGCACCTGGAACCCCCCCCCAGAAACCCCGCGAAAACCCCCGCGAAGAACCCCGGTCTCGGACCTCCAGGGCAGTGCGCACCTCCCTCTCCGGGCCGGAGAGCGGCGGGCCCAGCGCCTGGAGAGACTTCAACGGGCCCAGTTGCTGAAGCGCCCGGGATCAAAAACCGTCAGCAAATCCAGCGGCGATAGACTTTTTCTTAAGACCAAGGTGGAAAACCAAGCAAAGATTCATTTACTAGGTCCTCCAGATTTGAGAGGGTAGAATAAGTCGGTGCCCGATTTTTGTTTCTGTAGTAGGGGAACCCTCCCATAAAAAAGGGTAAAAGCGCACTACTGGCCAACCGTAGCTTGTCATAGGTGTCCCTTTTTCGGAAAAGAATCGACGGGTTGCCCTGGTAAACGGGGTGGCATAAAGCCCATACAACGCAGTGGAAACTACTTTCTACCAAACTAAGAAGGACACCTATGGTTGTTGCAATCACCCAGTTGATTTCAGTTCTTCTAAGTCCGATTTGCTTCCAGGTCCAACATGGGCCTTGGCAGATCACACCGCACACCATCGCCATTTGATTTGCTTGCTTAGGGGACACAAGGACTCACATCCGGGCCCAGCCAACCTGTTTTTCATGTGCTTTTTTCGCGTCGTGGAAACAAATGCCCCACATATGTCCAGTAGTGAAAACGATTCCGTTTAAAAACAAGGGGGTAAATGAAAACTGTTTTTTTCAGCAAATGGAGTGGATTTGTGGTTGGGTTGTTGACCCCAAATGAATTACCGATTCTACTATTACGCGCCTCCAAAACTCATGAATCCTCACGAAACCAGGGACACCTATTAAATCAATCAGAGTGTTGATTATTCGGGCTAACGGGAGATACGGCCAGTTTATAGCCACCATAAGAAGAGTATATATATACCTGCTACCTCCTTGGCCTGCTTTTTTGAAGGTCCTTCAAAAAAAACAGGTTTCTTACTTGAAAACCTGTTTTTTGTGCAAAAGGGGCGTCTTTTCAAAAAGACATGTTTTTCCCTGGGCAGGGTTCGAATCGTGATAGTTGATGCGGCTCTTGTGCTTGCGTGCATGTCGTTCGTTTCTGATCATTAGATTTTCAGTTGATGTGGCACTTCAGTTTGACAGAACAGTCCAGGGTCACATGCTGTCATATGACTTTGAACGAGTTACCCGCATATATTTCCCATAAAGAGCCACTAATTCAACAACAAAGCTGAAAAGAAGAGGGTTCACAACACATGGAGCTGCGCCACGCCCTTTCTGGCACATCGATCGCTCTGCTGGTCATCGGAGCCTCGGCCGGAAGCGGGCGGGCGTGCTTGAGGGGGGATAAGGTTGAAGTGTGGAGGTTTGTTGCTCGTATGGAGCCTGCATGGTTGAATTTCTTGTGTGGCATCACAATTTGGTTGATCATAAGCCCTTAATTGCGCGTGCTTTTGCGTTGTGATTTCTCGATCGCAGAACTGCATGTTTGCACATGGATGCCGCGTGAAGAGCGCCGACCCTACGTTTTCCCAAAGCATTTCGAGCTATCGAGTTTTGGCGGCCTGCTTTTGCTCTTTAGCGCGGGCCATGGACCGGCGACTGATTGGATTGGCTGAGCAGTGGGAGGGCAACAAGGAGGTCAGGGAGCGCCTTCGGAAAACTGGCACAGTTTTCGTTTGGCCCGATGACCCCAACCTTGTCCTCCGCCCTACCATCAAATCGGCGGAGATGAATCTACCGGTTCTTTTGCCTCTGCTGGGTCGCCTAGCAAGCCAAGACGGCAAAATGAGGATGTTCCTGATTGCTCGCCTGCAAGCTTCGCTTCTTGGTGGCTCTAGACTGACGTCAGGTAAAGCACCAATTTTGCGTGGTTCCAGATTGTGCGTGCTTTGTATCTTGAACACGCTCGTGGTTGCTGTTCTCCTTCCAAGTCGGATGCCTGGGTGCAAGCATGAAATCCCCGTTGGCGTGATATCCCAGGTTGGCCAAGCTCCATCAGCTCTTGGGCAACGATGCCTACAAAGCCAGGGGCCAGATCAAAGCTGACTCTTGGTGCTGCAGAAAATTCAGTGTTCTGGTGAAGCGAAAGCTTACTCGGGGCCAGATTTGCCGGAGCCGCTCTTTCCGGCAGCTGATGGCTTCCGTTGACCCGGACAGTTTGGGCAACAGTTGCATGCGCGCGAGCTGGTCCACCAAGTTGTTGTCTACAAAGTTCAATCAATGCACACATAGCTGTCGAATGTGCAACTAATATTTGCATGGACACACTTTAACACAAACACACACACTAGAATAGAAAAACCTGGTTGGTGTTAAGGTGCGCGCGCCGGCATGCAATTCAGGCGCATGTTTGTGTGTGCGCTTGTGGTCAGCATTGTTGTGCTTCGCGGTCAGGACGTGAAGATTGACATGGACGAAGCCGAAGCCGACGAGACTCTCGCTGACAGTGACGATGACGCTGACTATGACGACGATGACGCGGAAGACGACGCGGACTTTGAGTTTGGCATTTGTGATGGCGCGACTGATGAGGAGGTGGACTTGGAAGAGCAGGTGATCCTTGTAAGCTCCCAGGAGGACTGTGCCAGCCAGACGTGCAGCGCAGACCCAATGGAGGACGCTCAGGACACGCAGGGCATGGTCGACCAGACGCACGCGCTGAACAAGACAGACGTGATGGACAAGCAGATTTTCGGCGAGGACTCTCAGCTCGATGATGCGGGCGCGCAGGACGACAACAGCGACAAGAGCACTGCGGAGCTGAAAGCCCTCCTTGCTAGCACGAAGAGGAAAGCCGCTTGCATGAGCCTTGGCTGAGCAGGCGTTTTAGCTAGGGCGGAGTGCGTAGCGTTAGAGCAAATAGTTAGCGCGTGTGTGTGAGTGAGCTGTGAACAACATGACCTATAGCATGCCATGGTCTGAATGCGCACATGCACGCATGTTGCAACTAAACCACATAGTGGGAGAAGTGGGGTGTTTTTCCACTTTTCGGCGCATGAACTTTAGATGGTAAGGAAGGCCCAAATCTCCTTGAACAATGAGAAGGCGGCCACAACGAAGGAGTCTAAGCCTGTGTGGGTTGAGGACTCCCTGCCCTATGGGATGGATGATGGAGAAACACAACCAGTGGTCATGGAGCACATGCAGTTCCTAGCTGACCGCTTCAACGAAGAGGACGCGATTCCAGAGCCAGTGGCTGACATGTCACAAAGCATTGAGCCTTGGCTTGAAAGACTACTCAATTTAGAAACGCAGTAGCTTGTGTCTGCTTCACACATCATATGCCGTTCAAAAATCAACCATTCACACACCCAACACAAACGTACGCCGCACACACACACACATGCAGACACACACACACACACCTGCAAGCAACGCACGCACGCACGCACGCGCGCGCATGCACACATCACGCATGAGCGCATGTATGCTGTACACACTCCATGGGACGCGCGCGCTATAGATGGGTGACTGCGTGCCCTGACACTGAAGTTGAAACGCAATCAGTGCATTAAGACGCATGCACCTTTACGTTTGTTGTTTTGTTCTGCGATATTTTTGCGCGAGCTCGCATCTGCATGCACGTGTGTATATTCTCCCTTGCGTGTGTGCATGGGTGTGTGAATTTGTTTTTTTGTCTGTGTGCTTGCTCTGTTGCATATGCGTTTTTTGTAACTGCTATGTAGGTCGATCAATTATAACATAACAAATATAGCAATTGCTTCTTCGTGCGTGTGTCTCTCTGCACTTGTGTGTGTGTTTGCGCATGTGCATGTGCATGAGTGAGCGGGTGTGTGCGTGTGTGCGCGCATGTGTGTGCATGCTATCTGTGTTTGTGTTTTCTGCGCGTGTCTCTGTGTGTTCACGCGTGTGTCATGTGTGTGTGTGTGTGTGTGTCTGTGTGTGTATGCCTACATGCACGTTGCTATATTTTTGTGTGTGCGTGTGTGCATGTGTGTTTGTGTGTGTGTGAGGCCGTAGGCGCACACATTCACATGTTATTGAGCTTATCTGAGTTGACGCGACGGCAGCAGCTCGCGAACAAGCATGGCAAGGCGGACCAGGAGCAGGGTGATGAGAACAAGGAAGAGGAGCAGGACCTGCCCGTGATGAAGAAGCCAGCTGCCAAAAGGGCCAAAGCGGCGAGCAAAGCAAAAGCCACTGAGATCGCCATAGTTGCCAAGCTGTCAAAGAAGGGCAAGCCGGAGGACAAGTCGCGCTCCAAGCCTGACACAGCGCTCGCCACCCAGGAGGCTGACTCTCACGATGCGAGCTCGGACAACGCGCAGGTGGACTTGGGGGGCCCGAACAAGGTGGGATCCAACAAGGAGGTGGACTCTAACAAGGAGGGTGCCAAGAAACGGTTCAGCGACAAGGTCAACAACGAGGTGGACAGCGAGGGCTCCAAGAAACGGGGCTCCAGCAAGGGCAGCTCCTCCAACAAGGTGAACTGTGACAAGGTGGACTCCAACTCCAACCACAACAAGGAGGCTAACAAGGTGGACTCCGAAAAGGCGGGCTCCAAGAAACGCTCCAGCGACAAGAAGGTGGGCTCCAACACGGTGGACGCCGACAACGTGGACAGCGAGGCAGGCTTCAAGAAGCGGGGCAACGACTCCGACAAGTCGAATTCCGACAAGGTGGACTCCGACAAGGTGGACTCCGACAAGGTGGACTCCAACAAGGTGGACTTCGACAAGGTGGACTCCGACAATTTGGACTCCGACAAGGTGGACTCCGACAAGGTGGACTCCAACAAGGTGGACTCCGACAAGGTGGACTCCGACAAGGTGGACTCCAACAAGGTGGACTCCGACAAGGTGGACTCCGACAAGGTGGACTCCGACAAGGTGGACTCCGACAAGGTGGACTCCGACAAGGTGGACTCCGACAAGGTGGACTCCGACAAGGTGGACTCCGACAAGGTGGACTCCGACAAGGTGGACTCCAACAAGGTGGACTCCGACAAGGCCAAGAAGCGCGGCTCCAGCAAGCGGGGCTCCTCCAACAAGGTGAACAAGGTGGACACCAACAACACGGTCTCTGAGAACTTGGACTCAAACAAGGTGGACGACGGCGGGGTGGGCGTCAAGAAGCGCGGCTCCAACAAGGGGGG